AAAGAACAAATACAAAAAAAACTAAAAATAATACGAGGAAAAATCGCTCGACTGTAAAAAGACTCAAGTCGTCCGCGAAACGGCGTAAAGCTAATAGCGGTAAAAAGCGTACAGTATACGATATATTTTCATAATCGCCATTATTCTAAATACGCTTGTTCGTGACAATAACGTTGGTAGAGCAGGCGGTGAAAGAAAAAAATGTCATTTCTTCACACACACTCGAGCGAGTGTTTAAAGAGCGAGCTCGATCTCTTCTCTTTACCGCCCACGCAAACTAGCATCGAAAGTTCGCAATGGATTTATTACAAACCCGTGACCTCGCTTTCGGACGACTCCCCGCTAGAATTCGTCATTCCGGGTCACGGAGAAGAATATTTAGATCTCACACACACGTTACTAAGTCTTCGGGTACGTGTAGAAACCGAGCCGCTACCCGGTCTCGCCACCGGATCCGCCGTCAACGTGGGCCCCGTAAATCATTTTCTTCATTCCATCTTCAATCAAATCGACGTGTATTTCAATCAAAAGCTCGTGTCGCCTCCAAACAACGCTTATGCGTACCGCGCGTACATCGAAGCGTTGTTAAATTATTCATCACCCGCAAAAACTTCCCATCTAACCTCGTGCTTATGGGATGCGGATACACCCGGTCACATGGACGATACAGTAGGAGCGGAAGGCAATACCGCTATAGCGAGACGAGCTCGTTACATACGCGGAGGGCGCGCGCTAGATCTTATAGGTCACCTCCATTGCGACGTTTTCAATCAGGACAAATTCTTAATTAATGGCGTCGAGGTGCGGTTGAGACTCGTGCGCTCGAAAGATACGTTTTGTTTCATAGAAACTAATTGCACGTCGAAAATTCGTATACTCGATGCAAGCCTAATGGTGAGAAGAGCGAAAATAAGTTCCGGAGTATTACTAGCGCATGCTAGAATGCTGAGCAAAGTTACCGCCAAGTATCCGCTTACGAGAGTTGAAATTAAAACATTCACGATTCACAGTGGGGTTGTGGGTGAATCGTTAGATAATGTAATACTGGGACAATTACCGAAACGAATAATAGTAGGTTTCGTCGATAATAAAGCGTTTAACGGTGACAGAAAATTGAATCCGTTTAATTTCCAAAATTACGGAATAAATTTCTTCTCGCTATACGTCGACGGTACACAAATACCCAGTAGACCGTTACAACCGGTTTTCTCGTCTCGCGAACCGCTTTACATCGAAGCTTATCATACGCTCTTCTCAGGGACGGGTATCCATTTTTTGAACGAGGGAAATTCTATAAGTAGAGATGATTATTCTCAGGGATATACGTTATTCGCTTTTGATCTTACACCCGATCTATCCGCTAATTGCGCCGGTCATTGGAATCTCGTGAGACACGGAAGTCTTCGGTTAGAAGTGAGATTCGAGAAGGCACTCACCGAAACAATTAATTGTATCGTTTACGCCGAATTCGATAATGTCGTAGAAATCGACGCATCGCGTCAAGTTATCGTCGATTTTTCCGGTTAGCTTTTAACGCTCGTTCACCAACATGTATTCATACACAGTAATGTAATACGCGATTAGAAAATTTTCCCCCTCCTCTTTCTTTGGAAATTTCGATGACGCTATTCACGAAGTGGAAACTATGTAACGCGCTAGAATGAATTCAGTTTTGTACGAGACACGAACAAACGCGCACGTTTCGCTAAGAGCTTGTACCTCACCAACGAAAATCTCACAATATGGACATAGTCGTCGACATACAAGGTTTCCGCGATGAAGCCAATAAATTTATCGCGAAGGAAGTCGCCGTTGTCGCAATCGATGCTCCGATTGTCGAGCATTGGATTATGATGCCACCATACGCGTTTGGAAAATTACCCGCAAAAGCAAGACGAGAAAACAATTGGCTCTCACGAAATTATCACGGTATCGAGTGGTTCGACGGCTCAGTTAATCCTAAATATTTTACCTCGCATCTCCGCGAAATCGCAAGACACGCGCGCTGCGTTTACGTCAGAGGTAACGAAAAAGCAAACTACTTGAGGAATTTACTTTCCAGAGATATAAATAATTTGGAGGGTACCTCACCAGCATTTAAAAATCTACCGGATGAGGAGGATATCGTACAATATTGCGGTCATCACGGGATTCGAAAATTTGGAACCTTTCATTGCGCGTTATACAATGCTTATAAATTAAAATGCTGGCTAAGTGTGCAAAATAATTGCGAGAACGTTTCGACCTCTACCGAAGCTACTTGTAGTTCTGACGAAAGTTGGGAAATTACCTTCGACGATAGCGACGATAAATACGACGCCGCCGTTTCTTGCGATGTAAATGAGAATATAACTAAAATATAAATAGAGGAGAAAAATCAGCAAAACAACAAACATCAGATTGAAAAAAAGAAGAGAGATTTGTGATTTCTGAACCGTCATCGACGTTGACGGATAGAAACAAGAACGAAACAATTTCCATCTCGACGCAAACTGACATTGAAAACCTCTCAAAACAACTCAAGATAGAAGAAGACGCATTGTCGAAAGAGGTAAAAACTGGTATTGTTCAAATAATACCGTACACTCGTTCGTATTCGGGACAAAAAAATGAACTCTCGCGAAATTCTACAAGCATTGCGTCATCTAGATGCCAGACATGTTGGAGTCTATGCAGCCGACAGAGTTCCGAGGGTGTGGACGAGGTCGACGGCTATCGTCGCTAACACCGACAATCACGATCGACCTGGAGAACATTGGATCGCCTTCTACCTCGATGAACACGGCACAGCCACTTACTTCGACAGCTACGGATTACCCCCCTTGTATCCAGGATTTCTCATCCGACTTCGACGAAACTCCATCATCCATCGTTGGAATATTCAACAATTACAAGGAATTTTTTCTAAGACTTGCGGACAATACTGCTGTGTATTTTTATATTATATGTGTAGCGGCTATAATCTTAATCAGTTTCTCGCTCTTTTTTCCGAAGATTGTGAATATAACGATTGTTTAATCATACACTTATTTCGTAAAATTTTTACTCACAAAAAACAAGCGAATTATAACAATATATAATATGAATTTTAGTATTAATAAATAAATTTTGTTCTGTAAAAATATTTTAAATATAAATCATATTTGTACTTTTAAAACCATTGTTCAATTTTCTTTCACTTCCTTTTTCCAGAAATTTCCTCAACATCCATGTTTCTGTTTACCTTCATTAAGCAGCGAGTTATTTTAAAATAAAATTTTATCCGACATCTTTTCAACAATAAGCATTCTTTCTAATCTACGATGATGCATTATTTTTTTTATCGTGACACGAGTCGGAATGCTCGCCAGTACAAATATTTGCGTGTTCTTTTTTTATTACCCTACGGCATTGTCAGTTACTACCTGCCACCGATCCCCGGTCGACCGCATGACGCTTTTCTTGGTCAAAATGTTTTTACCCCACCCCGTCTAATATCGACCATTTGATTCGACGAGCTATCCTTGCCATACGTATACCCTAACTGTTTTTACCCCACCCCGTCCAATATCGACCATTTGATTCGACGAGCTATCCTTGCCATACGTATACCCGTACCCCCATACCGTACCCTACGCAACTTTAGCTTAAATACCTCATCTAATCCTTAGACTAGTAAGATCTCGTTTAGCTCAACATACTAGGACCCTGCTCGGAAACACGAAGGCCCCAGGTTCAAATCCAGAGGAAATCAGAAAAAATAAAAAAAAAATAAAAAAATTCTCATCCCCACCTTTCGGGGCCAGTCGCCATTTTTTTCCCCCAACACCCTCTCCCCCTACACCCACACTCGGAAAAACCAGACGCCGGTGGGGGAAAGATAAGATAAGACACGGCGACAGACGGGTCGGTGGTGGGGGTTTGTTTTGACGGGCCATAGTGCCCACTATACTACTAATGTCGGCTAAAAATTTTGTCCGCCATCTTGGAACCGCCATTTTGAATTTTGTAAATCTGACTTCAGATTCGTGATCAGCAACCCCAAAAACCCTCGTAAACTTAATTTGGTGAAAATCGGTTGACTAAAACTTTTGTCCGCCATCTTGAAATTTTTAAAACAGCCACATATCTGATGACCTTCAGATGTTTTGACTATTCAGATGACTCACAACTCGGAAACTACTTAACGAACAGAACGTTACAGAACACTGTAGCTTTCAAGCCTCACAACTCGAAAAATACTTAACGAAAATACATTTGTTTATAGTGTTTTGGAAACGTCTCGAGATAAGCTACAAGAATATGCAATAAAAAATAGGCAGTTCCATTTAACATATTGAAGGTGACCTTCATGTGACCTTTAAGCAACTATTCGAGGTCAACTTATTGACACCATCTTATGTCCCCCTCGAAACCATATAACTTTTATCTGAAACATTTTCTTGTAAAATGCAAGGGAACGGAAATATTTGGGGTGATAGATTCAAATGGCTCACCCTGTATATTATATATTTTTAACACATTTTTATTTATATTATAAAAACTATATTTCAATTAAATTTTTACATATAAGTATAATATTGTATCTTCTTATATGTATAGGGTCAAAGTGCCGATTATGAGATACCATTTACATTTTTTTAATTATTTCGAAAATATATGCAATTAGGAAAGTATCTATATACTGTTTTTAATCGTCAATCGTAAATCAAACGAAAAACTATCCTTAGAATAGAAAAATAAATTAAAAAACAAAACCAAAAATATTTTAATTGTCAATCGTAAATCAAACGAAAAACTATCCTTAGAATAGAAAAATAAAATAAAAAACAAAACCATAAATATTTTAATCGTCGATCGTAAATCAAACGAAAAACTATCCTTAGAATAGAAAAATAAAATAAAAAACAAAACCAAAAATATTTTAATTTTTAAAATACCCTATCTGCTTGGATCGGACCGCATTAATAGCCTTTATTGTCTTCCCACAGACGCTGTATCTAAAAATTAAGTCTGTTTACTTTCCTGTCTGCTCATCTGAGCTGATCGCTTTTGCATTCGCTCTCTTGCATGAGCTAACCATATTTTTATTGGCGCCGAAATTTCCTGATCCGTTGCATTTGTATGCAATCTTCTTACTGTAGCTGAAAAATTTGTTAAATTATTAGTTATTAATTTATTAGTTTTTAGTTATTAAGAAATAAGACAAGTTCTTTAATTGTAATTTAGTTTAAATTAAAAAATATATATCTTTGATTTTGAAAATACATATATATATATGTTGAAATAATCGGTTAGAAATATAAAAACACATACGAAACATTTATAAATAATTTAATAAAAAAATATATATTTTTAAACATGTTTTTTAATTTAATAAATTATAGCATGTATAATAAAAAATATAAATTGTTGAATTTATTTTACTTACACATAATAACTTGACTGTTTGGAGTTTGACAAGTAAAAGTTATCGCATATCGATCAATCTTATATTTCGGCATAAGTTTTCGATCATTGTATTTATATATCACGCCTTTGTATAGCCAATTATTTCAGCGTGACAAATATATTATTTTCGAGTCTCGTATTGTTACGATGCCGCGACCGTGACATTCCTTGTTGTTTTTCGCTGCCGATCAGCTGGCGATCAGCTACCGATCAGCTGATTCGCACTCAAATAAACATACCTTGCTCCCCGTTTTTCACCCTTACGACGGGGAATTCTTGTCTCTCGACACCTCGTCAACGGCAGTTGAGCTGAGCTCTCTGATCAAGCAAGATTGTCGCGCGAAGGCTATATGTCTCGGATTCAGTTTTTGTCTCCATCTCAATTGTGTGTTTCTCAAATAAACTCTTAAAAGATCAAATCAGTTTGTCATCTTTCTTAAGCAGTGATATTTTATCTTTCCTCTATCCTATCGTTCGGTTAATTTTGATGTCTCCAGTGAAAACGTGGATTTTCATACAGTTCATGTGCGAATCCCGGGATCTTTGAAAACCTCTAACTATCTCGCGTAAACATTGCTGGTCCTTCGAGCCGGATCTTCGGAATTCGCGAATTAAGTGAATTCTCGTAACCGAAATTACCGAACGTCGCGAGTGTGAAATATCGTGCTTATTGTCTCGTTGCTGTCACACCAGCGGTTCTCAGCAGTCGGCTGCGGAATTACGATTGTGCGTGAGTCTTGCGTAAGTGCGGTTGCCGCTTTCGACGTGCGTTCTCAAATAAGTGCATTTTCGCACGTGCTGTGTTCTCTCCAGTCAAGTTAGTCCGACTCAATCGAAGATGGCAACAATCGAAAACACCATTGCTCGCCAGAATGAATTGTTCGGTCTGATTTCCCGCGCAGTTTTCGAAAATCTTCATAAACTCGGACCGACAAAAACAACTCGTGGAGCAGTGCAAAGTCGCGTGAGCGCACTTAAGGCTAATTGGGAGAAATTCCAGGGTCTTCATGATAGCTTGTGCAAAGTGCGGAGCCCCGACATTGCAAAGCTGCCGTATTTCGCTGACGACCTCTATGCATTGTGCGAAGAGAAATACATCGATGCGAATGGCATCATGCTTGACATGTTAGATGAGCTCGTACCGGAAAGAAGTGCGTCCGCGACCGAGGCCTCAATGACAACGTCTACCGCATCTCATTCTCGACGACTGCCTCGTATCGACATACCAAAATTCTCAGGTGATTACGCTCAATGGAGTCATTATCGAGATTTGTTTACGTCCATGATCATGGAAAATAATGATATATCGGCTGTCGAGAAACTACATTATTTAAAAATGAGCTTGACAGGGGAGCCATCGCAACTCTTGAAAAATGTGACTATCTCTAGTGAAAATCTCAACCGCTCCTGGAAAATGCTCATTGCTCGCTACGAAAATAAGCGAATACTAATTGATGCTCAATTGTCAGCGTTATTCGCAATTCGCAAACTTAAAACCGAGTCATCATCGGAACTCAAGCGACTTCTCGGCGACGTTAGGGAAATCCTCGGTGGTCTCGAAGCTCTCGACTGTCCGGTGCGCCAGTGGGATCATCTTATCGTTTTTATGACTGTGCGCAATCTCGATTCCGAATCAATGAAGGATTGGGAAAAAACACTCGGTGCGACAACTACCGCGCCTTCCTTCGCCGACTTAGAAACTTTTCTCGTTGGACGCGTGCATACTCTCGAAGCTATGGAAAGATCCACGACCTCACGTAAACATCCTGCGACAAATATGACACGACCTCAACTAAACGCAAGATCATACGCTGCCACCACCGCCGAACAGCAGTGTGCGTTGTGCAATTCAAGCCATTATATTTCGGCGTGTCCGAAATATCTTGAGAAGACTCCCGCTCAACGCCGCGAGACAGTTTCATCGAAAAACCTCTGTTATAACTGCCTCGGTCCTCATCATCTGAAAAGCTGTCGTAATGCAAAGCGCTGTCGTATCTGTCGCAAGCAACATCACTCAACGCTACATCTCTCATCAAACGAACCGGTAGCCGCGATAACAACGATGTCGCCGATTGCCTCAATTCCGTCGACCTCGCACATAGGACTCACCTCCACGCATCTCGCGCAAGCCGACGGACAAGAATCAACGCTTCAAGCATGCAGTCATGTGACTCAATCGCGTATAATTCGAAGTACGTCCGTACTGCTCGCGACCGCTCTCGTTACTGTCGTATCACCATACGGCGAACATTATCAAGTACGCGCGTTGCTTGATCAAGGATCGGAGGCATCATTTATCTCCGAATCCGTCGCACAAATCTTAAGACTCTCACGCACTTCAGCTGCAATTCCAATTATCGGGATCGGTGCTCAGCGATCCAGTGTCTCCAATGGACGTGTCTCTTTTGAAATTATCTCACGCGTCAATTCGGCATTCTCTCTAAAAATCGAAGCTCTTGTGTTGCCGAAACTCACCTCTTATCTGCCACCTGCAGTTATTGTGAATGCTCAGTGGCCTCATATCCATGGATTGGCGCTTGCAGATCCAAACTTTGCAACGCCAGGAAAAATTGATCTCGTTCTCGGCGCAGGTGTTTGTGCGCAAATTCTCGAAGACGGCATTTGCCGAGGAGCTAGCGGTACGCCAATCGCTCAGAAAACCACTCTCGGCTGGATACTCTCCGGACAACTCTACTCTGAGCATGATCACACCTCAACAGAACAATCAATTAATGGATTGCACTGCTCTCTTGATGGTAAACTCCTCGATCTGCTCCAAAGATTCTGGGCCCAGGAAAAATCACGCCTGTGCATAACGTGACGCTCACCCCAGAAGAATCTCAGTGTGAAGAACACTTCAAGACAACGCATTCTCGTGACGCGCATGGACGCTTTATCGTTCGGTTACCGCTCCGAAAAACTGTAAGTGACTTGGGTGATTCTCGCGCTCCAGCACTCAGGATGCTCCGACGTATGGAAGCGCGCTTCGAAACGCACGCTTCTCTCAAGGTAGCCTATAAGGAGTTCCTACGTGAGTATCTTGAACTTGGTCATATGCGTCTCTCAAGTTCTCATGATATTTCGCGACGCGAATTCTTTCTGCCGCATCACGGCGTCATTAAAGAAACAAGCTCGACCACGAAATTACGCGTCGTGTTTAATGGATCGCAGAAGACAAATCTCGGAATATCATTAAACGACTGCTTGCATATCGGCCCGAAATTGCAGACGGATCTCGTTGACATTCTCGTTCGCTGGCGTCGACATCGCTACGTGTTCGCGACTGATATAGAAAAAATGTATCGACAAATTCGCGTACATCCAGACGATTGGCCACTTCAGACGATTTTCTGGAGAGACTCTCCGTGTGAACGGCCGCGAGAATATCTCTTATGTACCGTGACATACGGTCTAGCTAGCGCGCCATATCTTGCACTTCGCTGTCTGCAACAGCTCGCAACCGACATTGAATCCACACGCGGACTGGCTGCCGAAATTCTACGCCGCGATACATACGTGGACGACATTTTATCCGGGTCAGATGACATCTCTACAACGAAAGAAAAGATGCAGCAGCTTAAGGATACTCTCACGGCGGGTGGCTTCAATCCGAAGAAGTGGATTACAAACGCTTCGGAATTGCTCCAAGGTATTCCCGTGTGCGATCAGGATCCTTCCGCGATCCTACCCGTCGGCGACTCCACGACGCATTATACTCTCGGAATTCGTTGGAGCCGATCAAGTGACAGTTTCGTGTTTGTTGCCCCTTCGTTTCCGCGCTCAGACAAAACGTTCACTAAACGCTCGGTACTCTCGTTTATCGCGCGGATTTTCGATCCTCTCGGCTGGATCGCACCGATTATAATCACGGCCAAGCGATTCATGCAACAACTGTGGGCAATACGTCTCGACTGGGATGACGAATTACCATGTTCTCTCAAATCTCAGTGGATCGAATTCATGAAGCAATTCGAACAGGTGTCGGCTATTGTGATTCCGCGTTGGTTCGGCACCAGCTCAACGGCTCTCGGAACCGAATTGCATGGTTTCTCGGACGCCTCTCAACATGCAATTGCCGCAGTTATCTATCTCCGTGTCGTGACTCCCACCGGCATTCATGTGACTCTCGTTAGTGCAAAGACAAAAGTGACTCCGCTTAAACGCGTAACAATTCCGCGACTCGAATTATCAGCTGCCGTACTCCTCGTGAAACAGCTTCTCAAAATACGCGAAATTCTCGATTTAACTCAAACGCCAGCGCATCTCTGGACGGACTCCACCGTCGCGTTAACATGGATCAAAAGCCATCCATCGAGATGGAAAGAATTCGTGCGAAATCGTGTCGTGTTCATACAAGAGCTCTCAAACTCTCGGTGGCATCACGTCTCAGGGAAAGAGAATCCTGCTGACGTGGCGTCTCGCGGAACATCGCCTCAACTTCTCCAGCAAGATCAGTCGTGGTGGCATGGACCTCTGTGGCTACAGCAATTCTCGACCGCGTGGCCAGTCTCAAAGCTCTCGCTCGATTCCAACGCACATCTTGAAGAACGAGCTCGTAATTGCGCCATCGCGATCGTGATTCCAGAGCCAGATATGTGGGATCTCATAAAACGATACTCATCTTTCACTCGACTGACCCGCATTACCGCCTGGATTCTACGCGATCCAACGCTTCCGACCTTCAAGGACTGTGCCTGTATCGCAAGACCCTCTTACTGCAGGGGAGCTAGAATTGTCAGTCCTTCTTTGGGTCGAATTAACGCAACATGCTTATTTCTCAACGGAAATTCGACTCCTACGAGGAGGTAAGCAGCTGCCGAAAACCAGCGCACTGTTCCGTCTCACTCCGTTTCTCGATACTAAAGGGCACCTCCGACTACAAGGACGCCTTCAATTGTCTCAGCTGGATCCGGCGGAAAAACATCCATTGATTTTACCTCGCAGTTCTCGATTGACGGACCTCATAATGGATTATTACCATAAACAGACGTTACATGGCGGACCACAACTCATGCTCTCGGTTATACGCCGCAAATTTTGGATTCTCGGGAGTCGCCTGCCGGTTCGCTCATTTATTCATCGATGTGTAACCTGTACACGTCAACGAGCAGTTACCGGGCTTCAACAAATGGGACAGCTTCCGGCCTCTCGTGCAACTCCATGTCGACCTTTCTATCATACCGGGGTCGATTATGCCGGACCTCTAACACTCAAGACCTTTCGCGGACGAGGTGCAAAAACTTACAAAGGATACTTTGTAATCTTTATCTGCTTCAACACCTCAGCTATGCATCTCGAGGTGGCGACAGATTATTCGACCGACGGATTCATCGCCGCCTACAAACGGTTCACGGGCCGCAGAGGGATTTGCTCCACAATCACAAGCGACTGCGGCACCAATCTCATAGGAGCGGATTCCGAATTAAGGCGACTGTTCAAGGCCTCAACGACAGAATGGACTCACATCGCCTTCCAGCTCGCCAACGATGGAGTTACGTGGAAGTTTAATCCACCCTCGGCCCCTCACTTCGGTGGAAAGTGGGAAGTTGGAGTGAAATCGGTCAAATTCCACCTCAGGCGAGTCATAGGTGACACGCTGCTCACCTATGAAGAGATGAACACGCTCTTAATTCAGATCGAGGCGGTTCTCAACTCTCGCCCTCTAAGCGCTCTCTCGGATGACCCAACGGATGTTTCAGCGCTCACGCCAGGGCATTTTCTAATCGGATCAGCGCTCACCACTGTACCGGAGCCCTCTCTGGGTGATGTCCCAGCATCTCGGCTGTCGCGCTGGCAGCTACTCCGCCAGATGACGGAGTCATTCTGGAAGCGTTGGACTGCAGAATATCTGTCCCAGTTTCAGGTCTCCTCTAAGCGGCACCAAGCGCAAAATTCATTTCAGGTTGGGTCTTTAGTTCTCATCAAGGACGAACGGATGCCTCCTACCAAATGGCCTCTCGCACGCATCATTGACGTGCATCACGGGCCTGACGGACTTATCAGAGTCGTCAGTGTGAAGACGGCCAACACTACGCTCAAAAGACCAATTGTCAAATTGTGCCTGCTGCCGGATCCAAATAAAACAGACATTTTCGCGATAGATTCACGTTCCATAAATATTGTCAACGCGGAGTTGCCAAGGCGGGCGGAATGTTTGGAGTTTGACAAGTGAAAGTTATCGCATATCGATCAATCTTATATTTCGGCATAAGTTTTTGATCATTGTATTTATATATCACGCCTTTGTATAGCCAATTATTTCAGCGTGACAAATATATTATTTTCGAGTCTCGTATTGTTACGATGCCGCGACCGTGACATTCCTTGTTGTTTTTCGCTGCCGATCAGCTGGCGATCAGCTACCGATCAGCTGATTCGCACTCAAATAAACATACCTTGCTCCCCGTTTTTCACCCTTACGACGGGGAATTCTTGTCTCTCGACACCTCGTCAACGGCAGTTGAGCTGAGCTCTCTGATCAAGCAAGGTTGTCGCGCGAAGGCTATATGTCTCGGATTCAGTTTTTGTCTCCATCTCAATTGTGTGTTTCTCAAATAAACTCTTAAAAGATCAAATCAGTTTGTCATCTTTCTTAAGCAGTGATATTTTATCTTTCCTCTATCCTATCGTTCGGTTAATTTTGATGTCTCCAGTGAAAACGTGGATTTTCATACAGTTCATGTGCGAATCCCGGGATCTTTGAAAACCTCTAACTATCTCGCGTAAACATTGACATATATGTAATTTGGAAAAGTTTTCTTTCTTCTTTGCTCCATACCAGCTGTAATTAACAGCTAATTCATTAGTAAAAATTTTTCGCATTAAACGAATACATAAACTTCTCAAATCTGTACTAATTACGTAGGCTAAGTGTTTAATCTGAAATATTATTACAAAAGATAAAAGTTATAACTTTATATAATAAAATTATATTTATGTAAAAATATTGACATATATGGCTTTAAAATATATTCTAAAAAAATTATTTGGAAGCTCAATATAAAATTAAATTATTTAAATATCTTTAAATAAATTTATATATTTTTAAAAACTTGTTTATTAGTATAGGGGGCCTATTATGTATTTCTAAAGGAGTGAAAATGCGAAAAGTGAGCAGCTCTTGTGATCACTGATTGGTAGATCTAAAAGTGTACACCAATTAGTGATCGAGGAAAAGTTATTTTTTCGCATTTTCACTCCTTTAGAGATACATAATAGACCCCCAGAGTATTATATATATATATATAGAGTATTTCTTTAAATAAAAGTATTAAATATTCTTACAAAGTTTTATATTCAAAATTTTTTTATTTGTCATATTTTTTGCTAGATCTCTAAATTGTTTTTGTTTTTTTTTTAAAGTCGTGTTACCATTAAAATAGATATTTAACTTACCATTTCATTTCGATAAAGTACATCAGTACTTATTTTAATTTCCAATACATTTAAACTATTTTCATCTTTCAGTGGTAGGTCTTTATTTATGTCATTTAATTCTTTCTGCTCAGTTTCAAAATTTTCCGTTGAAAGTTTCCGAAGTATTAATTTTTGATTTCTTTTCATACTGTTCATTTTTAGTTCAAAATGAATTAGTTTTCCAATGACAAATTGTTTAAAATTTTTTTCTTCGTAATTATCATCACACAAATTGTTATCGCAATAATGCATATCTAAAAATAATGAAATAATTTTATCATGTTATTTCAATATATCGTTGATATAACAAAATGTTAAGCAAAATATTTATGTAAAATTACTAACATATATCACTTTAAAATATATTGTAAACACAATAATATTTAGCAGCTTAATATAAAATTAAAATTAATCAAATATCTTTTAATAGATAGATAGATAGATAGATAGATAGAAACTTTATTGTTTCCCGTAGGGTTACAATTTAAACTACATAACCAAAAATAACGCTTACAATATCCACTTAACCTAACTTAACCTACTTAACCTAATGTTTCTAAGGGGTTGAGCTTCCACCTCGAGTCGCCCTTAAGGCCTTCTCCCCTTAGCTTCCGCTCCACCCCCCAGTACGCACACACACACACATCTCGCCGCTTGGGACTTCCGTTTCCTATTGCTTTTTGCTCTTTTACTTTTCTTCTCCCTTTCTCATTCTTTCTTTCCATTTCTCCCATTCCTCTCTCCCTCCCTCTCTCTTTCTTCCTCTATCTCCACCATCCATCCTTCTCCCTTTCCTAGAATTTCCCTGACTACTTCCTGCCAACTCCTCTCCTTTTCTCTACTTATTCTACATCTTTCCCAGATATGTTCCCATGACTTCTTCTCTCCCCCACACAACCTGCATTTTTTCTTTTCCTCCTCCCAGTATCTACTTTCTAACAACTCATTTCCCAATCTAAACCTTGCCACTCTCCTTCACCTGCTCTCCCCCAACCTTTTTTTAAATACTCCGGGACTCCTTCCACTCTAATCTCCTTATACCATTTATTATACTCTGACTTTTCTATTTTTTCCTCCCTTCCTTTCCTCTGCTCCTCCCAATCCTTCCTTAACAATTCTCCGAACCACCCCTCTTCCTCCCTTCTCCTCTCTTCTACTTTTTCTATCCTTTTCCCTCTTTTCCTAAAGTAATCTTCTTTTTCCCTTTCCCATTCTGACCCCACCTTTCCTTCCTTCGCCCTTTCTCTCATTTCTTCCCAGCATTTTCTTGCCAACTCACTTCCTCTTCCTCCATTCTTTTCTCAAAGCTCCACGCTCTCTTCCCAGCTCTTGTTCTCAGTTTTTCTCTTCTCAGCTCCTCTCTCACCATGTATCCTGGTGTCCTCCTTTCTACCCCTAATGTCCATCTCAGGTACCTTTCCTCTAATCTTTCCATCCCCCCTCTCTCCTTCCATCCCCATATTTCTACCCCATAGCTCAACACTGTCCATACCAGCTTGTCAAATAGCCAAAGCCTTTTTTCCCAGTCTTTTCCGAATCTTCTTTTCCCTATCCCCCACACTTGACCCATTATCGATGCTGTTCTCCTCGTCCTTTCTCTCACCTGTCCTTCTTGTCCTCCATTCCTCTGCAGCCTATATCCCAAATACGTGAATTCCTTTACTTCCTCCATTCTCTCTCCTTTCCATCTCTATTCCCTTTTTTTCCACCTTCCCCCCTTTCTCCTAAATCTCATAACTTTCGACTTTTTCGCGTTTAATTCTAGCTTTTTATAATCTAAGTACTCCTCTAATCTCTCTATCATGCCCCTTAATTCTTCCTCCTCTTCTACCAGCAACACCATATCGTCCGCGTATGCTAACGTGTATATTCTTTTCTCTCCTATCCTCACTCCTCCCCTTTTCACCTTCCCCATCTTTTCCTCTAAGTCCGCTATCAGTATATTGAATAATAACGGACTCAATGAACACCCCTGTCTTACTCCTTTCTCTATCCAGAACTTCTCCCCTATTTCCTCTCCTACCTTTATTCTACATACCGTTTTCCTCATCACTTCCTCCACTCTTTTTCTCAGTCTCTTCCTTATTCCGCTCTTTTCCATTGCCTCCATTACTTTCTCCCTGTCCACCGAGTCGAACGCTGCCCTCAGATCTACGAACAGTGCCGTCATCCTTCCGCCTTTTCTTTCCAACTGCCTGTTAATCAGGTAGTTCATCACATAGATGTTGTCCATTGTTCCCATTCCTCTTCTAAATCCCATCTGATTTTCTTTTATTATTCTTTTCTCCTCCATCTCCTTTTTCAGTCTTTCTGTTAGGATCATTGTATACACTTTATACAGTGTCGGCATCAATGTTACTCCCCTGTAATCCTCTATCACCTTTCCTTCTCCTTTTTTCTTTATCGGTACTATCACACCTTCCTTCCATTTCTCCGGCCATCCTTCTTCTCTCCAAATCCTGTTACAAAAATCCAGTGCCCAATTTTCCAGGTTCCCTTCTCCGTATTTCCATACCTCATTCCGAATCTCGTCTATCCCCGACGCTTTTCCTTTTTTCAGTTCCTTTATTGCCTCTAGTAATTCTGTCTTACTTATTTCCTTTTCCTTCTCCTCTTCTTCTTTATCTCTTCTGTCCTTTCTCTCCTTTCTTACTCTCCTCTCCTTCACACCTCCTAGCAGTTTCATGAAGTACTCTCTCCACTCCTTCATCTCAATTTTCTCATTTATTCCCTTCTCTCTCCTTCTCTCTTTGTTAACTATTTCCCACACTTCTGTTTCCTTTTTCACCTCCGCTGCCCTCCTTTCCCATTTCTCGTTTTCTTCCTTTTTCTTCCTCTCACATAATTTCCTGTATTCTCCTTTTTTCCTCCTGTATTCTTCTCCTTCTCCTCCTTCCCTCCTCCACTTCCTCAGCTCCCTCCTTACCTTCCTTTTTTCTTCTCCACACTCCTCGTCCCACCATCCGCTCCTTTCCTTCTTCATTTTCCTCTCATCCTCCTCTGTCACATTCATTGCTTCCTTCAGCTTCTCCTTTACTTTCTTCCATTTCTCCATCTATCTCTTTCTTTCTTCCTTCTAGTTCTCCCACTTTCTCCTTAAACCTCCTGCACCTTTCCTTATTCCAAATTCCTCCTCTTCTCCCTCCTCTATTTCTTCTCCTCCCCCCTCTCTGCTTTCTCTCTATCTCCACCTCCATTGGATGATGATCTGAATCCACTTTATCTCTTATTCTTAACTTTTTTACTTTTTCTCTGCTATCCTCGTCTCCCAGAACGTAATCTATTACTGTGTTTCCTCTTCCTCCTGTAAATGTCCATTCCCCCTCCTCATCTCCTCTTGTGTTCCCATTCAGTATGCTCCATCTTCTTTCTCTCAAAAATTCTAATAATTTTCTTCCTTCTGCGTTAATTACTTTGTCCTTTGACTTCCTTTTACTTTCCCCTACCTCTTCCTCTGCATCTTCCTCTCCCCTCACTTTTCCCCCTTCTTTTCCGGTCCTTGCGTTAAAATCTCCTCCTATTATCGTGTAAACCTCCTCCTCTTTTTCCTCTGTCCACTACTCCATTTCTTTACATGCCTTCTCTATTCCTTCTGCATATATTCCTATCACCCTCCATCTTTCTCCCTTTACTTTTACCCTTCCTATCGCAACACCTTCCTTTTCCATTTCTATCTTCCCTCCCTTCTCCGCTATCTCCTTTCTTATCCCCATAATCATTCCTCCTATCGCTCTTCCCCTCTTGCTCTTTTTGCCAGCTCCTTGTACTCCCCACACGTATCCTTTCGGCAAAATTCTTCTGACTTTCTTCCAACTCTTCTCTTCCATCTATGTTTCCGTCAGCACTATCACATCCCACTTCTCTAATCCCTTCCAAAAATCCTTATTTTTGTTCCCTACTCCCGCCACATTCCAAAATTCTATCTTCCATCCTTTTTCGCCCTTCCTCCTCTTCCTTTCCTCCCTTTCTATCTCTTCAAATCTTCTTTCCTCCTCTCCTCTTCCCCCAATACTTCTTTTCTTACATTTCCTTTCTCACCCTTCAGGACCTCCTTTACCTCATCCCATCTCCACCATTTTTCTTCTATTCTTATCCTGCCATTGTTTATCCATGTCCTTTCCCCTCTTTTCTGTTCTCTCCATGCTATTTCTCCCAATTTCCTTCTTACCTCCCTTTTTTTCCACGTTAGGTCCATGCCTATCTTTTCTTTTCTACCTTTTAGTTTCTTCTTCTTCTCCATCACCTCCCATTTTTGTTCTTCCTTCTCCAGTTCTACTACCACCATTTCTCTCCTTTTCTCTCTCTCTCTTCTCCTATCTTCCTTATTTTCATTATTTTCACTTTTGCCTCAATCTCTTCCATCAAACTCTCCACCCCCTCTCTTCTTTTCCCCTCCTTAACCTACAGGCTTCTTATCACTATTAAGAGTTTAACAAGGCTCTGTAATATAAATATAAATTTAAAGATATAAGACAGGCAGTAAGAGCCAACTCGCGGATGACAGTGCGTTATCCTAACGAAACTAAATTTTTCGTTAGGATTAAGTATCTGTGCACAAGGCACCAAATATTTTACTTGGTCACGGCCAAGATTTAAAATATGAAATAATCTCATATTTGAGATTTAATTTCAATAACCCTTTCACCCCCCTACGGAAATAAGTAAATGCAAGAGAAAAATATAGATCCGAAAGTCGCTGAATCGGGAATCGAACCCGAGACCTTTCGCTTGCCGGGCGACTGCTCTTCCAACTGAGCTATTCAGATCCTTTCGATTCTATACTTTTCTCTGCTATATGTAATAATGTTGATAAACAAACGCGTTTTAAGCCAGCGTGTATATAAATTAAGAGTTTAACAAGGCTCTGTAATATAAATATAAATTTAAAGATATAAGACAGGCAGTAAGAGCCAACTCGCGGATGACAGTGCGTTATCCTAACGAAACTAAATTTTTCGTTAGGATTAAGTATCTGTGCACTGGCTCTTACTGCCTGTCTTATATCTTTAAATTTATTCTTATCACTATGTTTTTCTTCTTTTCCTCCTTTTCTAACATCTCTCATTTCCTTTCCATCTCCCCTACTCTTTTTTGTATTTCACCCCCTGTGCCCTCCTCCATTTCTCTTACTCTCCCCCTCCTCCTTCCTCTATTCTCCTCTCCAGTCTCTCTATCCTCCTCTTCATACCTTCCATGCTCTTTTATTTCTTCTTTCTTTTCTTTCCATTTTTCAATCTGTTTCTTGTAGTCTTTTCTTATCTCCTCCATCTCCCCTCTAATCTTCTCTCCCTGCTCCTTTATTTCCTCTCTCATCTCCCTTATCTCCTGCCACATCTCTTGTAATATTTTTTAAATTTCTCCTTTCTCTCTCTCCTCCTTGCCTTCTCTCTCTGATGATCTTGTTATTTTGTTGCTTCTCTTAAAGATTTCTGCTCCCTCCTCTCCATTCTTTTCCTCTAACTCCTTTTTTTTCCTCTTCAATAATTTCTCTATGTTTCCCAAGCTGCCACTTCTTTCCTTTCCCTTAATTCCTTCCTTCTTTCCGTTCATCCTGCTTTCTAAGCTCTTATGTTCTTTTTCTGACTACTTTCCTCTCTATATTCTCTTTTTCCCTTGCTTTCCTTTCTACCTACCTATTTACCCTTCTATGTTTTCTTTACTCCTTGTCTCTTACTCTTTGTATTCCCTAGCTATTCCCTAGCGCCTGCTCTCTTTTCTCTCCTTACCCAGTTTCCTTTCTATACTTTCTGTACTCCCTGCCTACACTCAGCTGTCATCCAGCCTCCTAATTCTCTTTCCTATCTCCTCCTATCTATTTTCTCCTCAACTATTCTCACCCTCTCTCACTTTTTTCCCACTTCCTCCTCTCCCTATCCTCTCCTCTCTTGCTTGCACTCTATACTCCCTAACCCCTTTCAATTATCCACACTCACACTCTACGTGTCTAACGCGTTTGCACCGGAAACGGAAGTCCAAATATCTTTTAATAAAACTATATATTTTTAAAATATTGTTTAGTATAGAGGATTATATACAAGGTGTCCTGTAATTGGTAAAAATCTGCTAATGGCAGATTCGTGAGATCATTTTGAGACGATTGTTCTTCAGCGAAAATGTCAAGAGACGTCATCATTTTTTTGCAAACTTGCAAAATTTATTATTATATATTTTCGTAACTAAGTCTCAAATTAAAATTTTATTAAAGTAAAGTCCACTTAAAATTAACTGAAGAATGTAATTATGTAAGGCCCGATTACACCAACGTTATTTTCATTTTAAGCGAGACTTACATATGTATCTGTCTTTATTTAATTAGAAAAAAGGATAAAGATAGACATTTATTTAAGTTTTACTTAAATCCAAAATAATGTTGGTGCAACTGGGCCTTAGTCTTTTAACTCCACAAAGTTTAGTTTACGAAAATCATTTTTATCAATCACATAACTCGAAAATTATTGAT